CAACTTAGTATTTGAACGTTGACTGTTTTCAAAACGTATTTGTAGTAAATTTTTCGTTCAAGTATTTGGTTCTTTTTTGCTACTGCGGAGTTTGCAGAGGATGAACGAAGATTTCTTTAAGAATTAATTATTGAAGAATGAATGGAAGCAAGGAATTTTCCAGTTCTAGAAGAGAATGAATGCGAAAATCTGATAATGTCGATCACGACAATATGAAAATACGATTCGTTCGACTTGGAAGTGTTGTCTGGCGATACCAGGAACTAAAATACGGGACAGATTGTATTCGGTCGGTGCATGGATAATAAATCGAAATAAATCTTTCACTTCACACCTCTGCAAAATCGACTGGGGAGAAACTAACGACACGATTTTCGCCCACAGCTTGCCATTTGGTCCGATCTGGGTAAAAATGGGCTTTAGGCGTCGAGTTGCAACATTTCTGCAATCACGAAGGAAAAACGCTAAATAAATGTTGATACGACACGCACTCGAGCAAATTTGCTCAGAAAATGGCACTTTGCACTGTAAAAATAGGAAAAGTTACAGGGAGTGGCCAACATACAATTTTATTGGATAATTAGGTTGAGGTCGTAAAAAATAGCAAGAAGGGCGTGTGTGTACTATCTAAAGTTTCAGGACATGTCCACTTAAAAAAGAAAATATATAACTACAATATTTTATTTTTGATTAAATTTAGTGGACTGTTAATCAATTTTTATTTGCTTTATTAAATTTACATCTATTTCTATATATTTTGTAATGGAACCAACAAAGTAAATCTAGGCGATTGAAAAAAAACAAAGTAAAAATCTCAGTTTTTCACGAAATAAATTTTTATTCAAAAAACACTCCCTCAAAACTGATGGCAGCTAGAAAGTTATGTTTAATGCCCCTATAATGGCGAATGCAAATAATTGGCTAATATCACTTTGCTACCCCGATTCTTCAATTGTTGGCGATTTTTCAAAATAGGATGTTGAAAGTTACAATTTTCACCGTTCCCAATCGACAGTTTTTTTTCAAAAGTTCCTAACTAAAAAAAAAAATGGTTTTTACTCCGTTCGATAGCCACAAATAAGTTCGATTATCTCTAGAAATAACCACTTTTATTTGTATTTTCTTGGTTGTGGGCGAGTTTTAAAACTAAATGTTGAAATCTTAATTTATCTCGAATTGCAATTTTTAAATTCTTACTTGGAGAGTAGACCAGTTGGTGCGTCTCTTTTTATGCCATTCTACAGAGGAAATTTGTGTCCATTATTTCTGTGAGTGTCACTTTTCTACATCTTTCGTCAATTGTTGACGATTTTTCACTTTGGAATGTTGAAAGGTTCAATTTTCTTCACTCGACAAGTTTTCTTTCAAACATTCTTTACTCAAAGTAAAACTAAGGTAGTCGGAAAGTCAAGACTGTTGTATCAATTGTTGACGAGTTTTTAAACGTTAGTTCAAGTTTAGATTTCGCTTTTTTTTAATTCACAATTTTTTTGCATTTTCATGATAAGTATAAAGTTTTACAATATATACAAAATAATAGTCAACGGTAATTTGTGGAAAAAGCACCGAAAATTTCTATTTAAATATTAAGTTTTGCTACCGAAATGATAGTTTGGTGCTTTTTTCATTTGCTGATATAAATTTGCGCAACTGAAACCGTTTCGATGAATTTTGTTCAAAGCTACTGGAACAGAGTAAATTATTATTTTTTGTCTTCAACGGAAATGGAAACAGGGAATCTCGTGAATATAATATGGAAAAATGTGTTTTTATGCAAATAATGCTTGCTCTTGCTAGTCCAATTTAACTAAGAACAGAAAGAGTCGCATATTCCCAATTTTTTTCTGCTTTCTTTCCAGTTGTTGCTCTAGTTTCTTTGACGCGTTTACTTTCACAATTTACTTAATTTTGAATTCAGTTTTTAAATGCTTCAGCCTGAAAAACACTGTAATTAACTGTTTAGATTGAAAAATTTTGTGAGAATTTACGTCTTGACTGAACGAAAAAACAAATCCAATATTTTAATAGTTTCATAATTAATCCATCCATCGTTTTGCGCATTTCATCGGTGTTTGTTACGATATTCATCTGAGACCCGGTAATTTATGTCTGCATATTCAAAGTGCTCTCGAATTGAAATAACAAACCTAACATACATTGCACGGATAATCGCGAAATTACAAGCCATTGTTCTTGAACGCGATATATCGCCGAGATAGCGGTTTTTATGTTAATTGAATGTATAAATGCCCTTTCGGCAACTTTATAAAGTTATCAACTACGCAATTTCTAGAACAATCGCATTATTTCGTGACATTTCCAACATTCCAGTTAAAAGGGTAACTTTCTTAGCAATTCCTTTTGCAAGTTTTTCCGCAACAGTGATTAATTTTGATTTTCTTTGCTTCGCATAGACTTAAAAGAAACCACTTCTCGATATAAATATTCAATGATTCGCTTCAACGGCGCCCTTCAGTCGGACGTGATATCTCTGGTTTTTACTTAAATTTACCAGATTTTCCAGGTCCATGAACCTTCGTGCCAAGATAAATTTGACAAACATTTCAACGATAACTTTTGTATTAATTATTAATATATTTTTATCTATGAAATTTATTATGATTAAAATCACAATGTGTTAATGGAACCGATATGGTTTTACGGAGTGTTTTCTCCAATTGAATAACACCTTTAACTGTTTAACGTACTGCATACATTTTTTCTCTTCAATTCAATAAAATTGGGAAGAATTTGATAGTTTCGAGTGCTCGCATTAAAGCTGCGGAGATAAAAATACCGGCAAATTATACACAATGCTTGCGTACTAATTTTATAAATACCTCAAATCCTGATAAACATACCTTTAGTTTATCTGGGTCAACTGATGCACATTGCTAAGATCTGATACTCAATAGATTATATGGCCAGCATATATTTTGAACTCCGCATCATTGATCAAACCAGTCGATAAGTTTGTTTGAACACTTTAAGAACAAGAAACAATTACGGGTTGCTAAAGAACACAGAAAGGAATATTTTATCGGTTTTAACAGAAGTTTATTAACAAATTCCTTCTTCTAGCGCTTCTGAATTAATGCCAACGACAATTTATTGCATGGAAATATCATTAAAAGTTGCCCCTAATCCTTATCCTGCAATCTTCAGTTCCTGTTAAATAGAGCAAAGCTGTCAAGGATCGAATAAAGTTTCCTTTCGAGATCAATTAGCCCAGATGGGAATAATATAGATATTTTTCGGATTTCATTGGGGTGCACCCGCATTGTATTTCGACCAATTACATTAACTATTGAACATATTCAGTCGAATATACAGAGAGATCTGCACAAGAAGTAAATACCAGTATATTCAATTTTGTTTTTCGGCTAAAAGTTTGGATTTAAAAAAAGTTAGGGTAGATTAATTGATTATTTGGTACTGAAAAAGAGCGAAGTAGAAAATTCAGAAATCAATCAAGAAATTCAATCATTCAATCAGAAAACGTCAAATAAATCTACTGAAAATATTGGATTTCTACATTAATCAAGTGAAAAAAGAATAATGAAATTCATGATTGAAATAAAACGAACGCGTTCAGTAAGAGATTAAAAGTAAAACTCCAATTTTACTCAATTGATCAAGAGATTGGAAAAAAATCGGACGGTAAAGAAAAATTAAAGTATAAAAAGTTTCAAAGTTTCCAAAGAGCATTCAGATCGATTGGCTGGGGATTGATACAAACTGGAAATGTTGGCATAAATCAAGGCCCAAAATCCCAATAGTGAACGCCTTCTTAATTAAAATACCTTATTAAATAAAATAAAATAAAATAAAATTCCTGTGCCATCCTGTATATCTTTTCATCATTAGTGGGTCACGAAAATGGCCTTCTGGGCACGCTGCTTACAACCACCCTCAATAGATTCACTTTTCAGCCCCGTTTGCCTTTGTTGTATCAACCCTCGGATGTTCACTTTTGCAGGCTATTTATTATTACTCAACTTGGCGGAAAACAACTAATGTATTTGTGATTTATAGAGAATGAGATGAATATCTTTGCTGATACCCTTGGAGAAATATAGTTACGAAACAGGCAATAAAATGTCGATTTTCAAATCTGAATTAAACTGCTCAACAAAATGAAAGTTACACAGTCAAATTTGCCCTAACTTTTGAACTGGATACTGATTGCTTTGAGCGATTTTGTTTTAATTTAAATTTAATTAATTTAACAATGTAAGACTAAAATTCGATTTTCAGAATGAATAAAAAATTACCCAAATCAGAATTGCTCCCGAAGTCTGTGACTTTGGAAGATTTTCAACTAAGTGAAGTTTAGTTAATATTTTGTTCATTTATGCAAGTCGCTATATTGAATTTTTCTTTCAATTCGATTGTGAAGTTTTAGCTTCATTATGAGCCCCAAATTTTGGAAATACAAAACCAAGAAGTTTATTTTCTTAAACCAATCTGCAAATAATCGAGATACCCTTTCAGTAATTTTGCATTTTCATTTGCCACCCTGTAGCAGCCCCGAATGGAAAAAGATCCATTAAATACCGGTTCAAACAAAATCAATTCACTCCCAGCAGTCAGAATTTATTCAGTTCCAAAATTTGCCAGTATAACGTTGATTTTTTCAGCAGTTTAGTACGAATAAACGTCGATGTTACCATATGCTGAAAGAAATGCCTCTGCAACGTTCGTTGTTCTAATTTCTAAACGCAAAACTAAAATAATTAATTGTTGTCGCATAGTTTTCCATTGGATGTTTTTCAGTCCACTAAAATAAACTTCACACGTAGGCGACCATTCGTGGCCTTTATATTAATGCACGATAAATTTCGAAAACTTTCGAAAACACAACTGTGACACTAATGTTTTGCAACTGAATGACGGAATATCATTGAACAAGTATTCCTTTCAAGAACAGTGCAAGCGTTATGTAACACGCGGTTATTAAGCAGATAGATTTAAAAGAGGCACTGGAGCAAACAGCAAAATTATCCAAAGACATTTACTGGTATGACACACTACGGCAATACATATTTTGAAACTTTTCTGTTACCAACATCCAGATACGTCCAGCGTTTACATGGGGCAGGTCTTCTTCTTGCGTCTTCTGCTTCTTCGTCTACGTTTCCCACAACGACCTCTCGATCGAGATTTCCGTCGTCTACGTTTCCCCTTACCTTTCTTCCTCATACTGCATGCTTGTTTATAGAATTTGTGCCTCTCTTGGTCATTCATCTTACACCTAGCATAGATAAACCGTGAATGGCCGCACAATTGGCAATTAATTTCTAAACCTTACCAGCATTTTGCGCCTTCCACCGCAATTTTACTTTGAGGCCATCGACAGTGTTTCTTCCTGAACACTCGCAAGTAGTTAAGGAAAGGGTTTTTTGTTTTTACTCCTGGTCTACATTTGCGCCCCCTCCTTCTCCTGGATCTCCTACGAGATCGTTTTCCACATGACCGACGACTGGATCTTTAAAAAAACGAAGCAATATCAGAAAAACCATTTGAAGCATATTCTACGTGACATCACAGTTTCAGCATAAAGAGCGAAATGTATGAATCAATTAATTTAATGTAAATTTTTGCTGATTTTGGAGTAGAAACATGACGGTTCACCCTTCTTAAGGTAACAACAATATTGGGTTTTATTACCTAAATGTATTAGCTTCAGGTAAGCCAATTGTTAAATTTCATGATTTAAAGTAAATACTGATTTCTACATTATCTATACTTATTTGAATAAATTCATTTTCAATATTATGATTTCGGATAGAGTAGAACAATAAAAAATTCCCCTATTTTGCAGAGTTCTGTCGCGAAATCCATAAAAAACAAAGGTTTTTAATAACTGCATCGAGCACGCAGACCCGATCAAAATCAACAGTTTAAGCTGAAAAATCTCAACACTCACCTCCTTCTTCTGAATCTGGATCTGCATTTCCGACTGCTTCTTCTCCTACGACTTCTACTCCTACCTTTTTTCCCGCAGTATACGCTAACCGGAATGTGCCTACAGCCGGACCTTGAGCAAGATCGGCTCATGCCGAGAATGGAACGAATAATACGTAAAATTTTGAATTAAAAAAATTATCACATTATTAAGCACAACTTGAAATTTGATTTACGCATTTTGGAGTTTTGACAAAATTTGACAATTTTTTCAAACAAACGTTTCCACGGGCACGGTGTCATTTTTTATTCTCATGGGTAGAGTATAATTTTGCCTATTGTTTATCTTATCCTATGGTACAAGGTGGAGGGATACTATCTGGAAATTTAGCTCAGTGGGATTTCAACGTCATCTTCTCTCAGGGTGCTGATGGATTGAGGCACATCCTCCTTTCATCTGGATTTTTCCATGTATTTATTAATATTTTTTGCATATTAAGCCATCTTTATAGGTGCGGAATTTGTTTAAAAAAATATCAGAAGGTGTATGCCAAGAAGAACTGCTTCTTCAGAACAGTTTTATCAGACTGGTCGCGGTACTGATAAGGCCGACCCCAGTCAAGTTCTTTTATTTTTATTTTTATTTCTGTTTGTTTTCTTATAAGTTTGTCATATACAGTTTTAACCATTTTAGACCGTTTTAACTAGTTTTTAACTAGTTTTGACTATTTTTAACCATTGTTTGACATGTTTTGTTAGGTGCTCTGGGGGTTGTTTGATTCTGATTTGGCAACGGCCCTGATGATGACTTAATTGTCGAAAGCGCTTGGCCTTAATTAATAATTACATACACACTTCGTTCCAAAAAAATATTCAATACGGAACTAAAGTTATCGCTCAAGCTAAATTTTCTGAATACTTGTTTTATGATTTTAATATATTTTTATATTTCCTGTTTCAATATTTTTCCAAATCCTAACTCAAACACTTTTTGTATACATCAAGAGGAGCTTGTTAGGTCGAAGACTATGCGACGAGCTTAAAAAACACAAATGAAAACAGTAAAAGAACTTTAGAACTATTTTTCGTAGAAAAATCAAATCGCTCTAATGACCAAGATTATCGTCAGGAAGAGAAGAATCTAACGAGCTCAAAATTCACTATTACGTTTACTATTTTTTTGAAAAAACGCAAAATACCTCACATTTTATACGATTTTTTCCCAAAATAAATGCACCCATCTGATTAAAAAGCACAATAGAAATTTGAGACCCAAATAATCGAAAATTATGCCCTATTTTGAGTGGTTTTCGAGTAATTTTGGTCTTTAATCGACGACATTTTTCTTACCATAGTCTCAAACACCCCATTTATTATGAATAAGGAAGCTTGTTAGGCCTAAAACTATGTATTGAGCTCTAAAATCACACACACAGAAGATTTTTAGCTGAAAAACTGAATTTTTATATTCTTTTAGATACTTCTTTACCATGTTACCTTCTAAAATTTGATCCAGTGACGGCGCAAAATAGTATATTTCTCAAGATTTTATATTCGCTTTTTATTGGCCATCTTTTCATTTTCTCGCTTTAAGCGCTAAAGTTAACTGTATTTTCATTTACTTTCTTTGAAGTTCTTTTAATAAATTGAGCCCAATTTAATATAAAAGTGCTAGAGTAAAGACTGAAAAGTCCATATTGCAATCAAAATTTACTTTATTGCCTCAGAAAACAACATCCAACAAAGAATGACATGTATTTTGTTGCTATTGCAAGCAGAACGCGATCGTCTTCTTCTTGACTTCATACTTCATAGAAATGCCCTGAAAAATTTAGAGCATAAAACAATCGGAAAGGTAGTATTATGGCGTTATTAATCTAAACATGCGTAGAAACACTGTATGAGATGGAAAAATTGTTAAAGTTGCTAAAAATTGAATAGTCAAATTTTTTAATCCCATTAAATCTCAGCATTTAAGGCAAATAAAGACAGTGGAAAACATATAACTTTCGAAAGAAAACATATACAACAAAAGTTGCAATATAAAAAAACACAATTTAATTCCACATTTTTTTAATGAAATTAATATAGCGTTTTGTTTCAGGTTATTAGTCGGTGCCCCCTTAGGTCAGAACTTGCAGCCAGATACCAATTACTCAGGAGCAGTGTTCAAATGCCCCATTTCTGAGTTGGATCAGGATTGCATCCAAATTGAGACTGATGGACAGCGGCGTACGTATTCATACTTTCTAGCATCATTTTTAGATTCTTCTAGATTGAGCCTTCTTAGATAAAAAAAATGATATAGAAGTTATATGTTTAGTCATATTTAGGAGCGATCAGTGTTGTTTACATCCCACTAGAGGAATAGAGCGAGGTTATAGACCCCACACAGTTAGATGTTTCGTGTTAGTTTTTGCCTATTTGTCTGTTGTTTTTTTATTCGAGGCAAGGAAGTGTTTAATGATGTCGAGATTAATCCTAACGGGCTTTTCTTCGGATTATCGCTTTTACTTGCCTCGATTAGTTTTTTGTGTAAAGGTTATGGATTATAAAGGCGGAAACAAATGGAAGATCTAATCAAACGCATTTTTTTCTTCAATTAATGTTTTCCACTTTAAGTATTTAGTTCTTCCATTTCAACTGACCTATGCAACTGTTTTTTTAGTAGCGTGATTACACTTTTCAAGACACTATTCCATTTTTAGACGCTTTAGGTGTGATTTTTCATAAAACTGGAGTTTAGTGATTGAAAGTGTACAAACTTGTCTGCGTCTTTTTTATCGGGGAGTGTTTAGTTTTGAAATTTCAACACCGATAATTGGGAGTTTTTGTGTAGATTTATGTCCTAGATAGAAGTTTTTGCAAAAGAAGCGCACTGAAAGTTTCAGACCGATACTGACTCACACACTTGAACACTGTACAATTTTTTTAGAATCAATTACCCGGAGACCTAAATATTTTTCAGACGTTATGTTAAAACAAATATTTTTATTTTCTTTTCACTTTAATTTAAAAATTATTTTGTGCCCAAAAGGGAGTGGCGTTCTTTTGCATAAAACTAAATTCAACGAGACGGAAGTTCTACGAGTAATTTTTGTGTTTTTGTTTTCGGGATTCACTTGCAGAGGCCGGAGGGAGGTATTTATGTAAGTGGTGGTCTCGAACCAAACGAGAGGTACCAATTGAGTTTTATGGTGCCGCCTCGGTAATAGCATGAGTATTTTGCTGATTTTTTAATTAGTCGCATGCCCTCACTTGCACGAGTAGACTCGCGCGGTGGTTTTGATGCCCGATATTACAGGTGACATGTAGAGTGTAGATTTGCCTTCGGAAAATTGGGTACTGCAACATTCACTCATTACATTTCTAACGTTCAACTTCCACAGTTGAAAGTTATACTTATATCAAATCTGGTTCGTCTGATTTGAGGTAAACGTTCATACATTTACTTTAACTAGCGAACTGAAAACTTTATTTGGAGTTGTTTTAGGTAAACTCCAGCAATTTCCCCTTTGGAACAACAAAATGATAAAAGTTACCTGCGAAAAGCCCATTTTATCGTCAATTCCACGAATCGAGGACATTCAACGGAACAACCTGATAATGAGGATCGATTTTGATTACAATTAGGAAATTCTAGCCAAATTTGCAGCAACTGTATTTCATTTTTTATAAAGGTTGTTTCCAAAAAAAAATAAGAAAATCAAGCTTTATTTGTGGCTGGCTTTTAGATTTTCATTGGCCATATTTTTGCCATGTCGAAGTTTACAGATAGTCCTTACATGTGATTCACTTAGTCACCGGTTTAATAAAGTGCACAAAAAAACTCAGTCAAAAAATGTTGCTGTTTTGCATCTGTTTTTAAGAAATAATCCATCTGATCCAACGGAGTTTCCGATATCGAATTAGTGGCTGTAACTTGAAATTTTTGAAGCTTTTATTTTGTAATTTTCATTGCTGTACCCAAATTTCCAACCATGAACGTGTAGCTGTAGTGTCTGTAAATAGAGCTTCTGTAAATTAAATAAAATGTAGATACACTATCACATGTAAATAAACATCAAATGTTTCTCGGAAAATCCTTATAAAATTATTATTTTATGTGTTTTGCACTCAAAATTCATTAAGTTATTTTCGGAATTAACCGGGAATTATTACGTAAAAGTCGAAAATTTTTGCATAGCTGCAACTGATGAAACTTACATATATTTGCTGAACGATAAGATATGGTAACAACACACGTACTTTGTCAAACTCTGTTAAAGTTTAATTTAATTTTCCAGGATGTTCGCCCGTTCTTGACTGTTTGGAAAAAAATGTTCCCACTTTATTAAAAATAATATAAAACAGATTATACATTACATAAAACAAACATAAACAAGTCGAAAATAATTTGCATGATTACTTGATAATACGGTACGTTGGGGATAATTACACTAACTAAGGTCTTCGACTTTAACAACAAATTTACAATGTTCTTGGGGCAGTTTATCTGGACATTGAAACATTTTTATACAATTTATAGTTACACTGACACAGTGGACTATTTTAACGTGACTAAACCTAAATTAATGTTGAGAATAATAGCAACATCTGACCTAATAAGAGTTAATAACAGAACTTACTTAAACCACAAATTGCTCACTTTTTTGAAATTTTGCTGTTATCTTTGCATTTATTCATTGATAATTCCATTTTTTTTAAATATTTTAATTTACTTGAAGATGTTCTACTGTTAAAAAGCAAAAGATCCGATTCACTTCAATAATTGGAGTCTTGAAAAAATGAGAAAGTGCTATTTTTCGATCATTAATTAATGGCTCTATTTGCTGTTTGAATTGATTCAAAGTAATTTATTTACAAGGTGTTCGGAAAATCAACTTTTGGAAAACGGCCTTCGGCATTATTCTGAGCTGTTTAGACGTCTTAATTCTCACGTCTAAAAAAAACAGCGGATTTTTTCCTCAGAGACTTGAAATGAAAATATGAAAAGCTGAAAAAATGTAAAACTGGAAATTCTTTACTAATCAAACCGATGGTTATTTATTCACACTGATACATTCTAAGTTTACTTACTTATTAACCGAACACCTTGTATAATTTACAAACTTAATTTATTTTTGAAACCTGAAGTGTTAAAAATATTTAAAATTCCCAGACGTTTTCAACACATACAGAAACTATATAACATTTGCTGTTGTTTAAGAATAAGTGTTAACTACTAAAATCCGCCATATCCAAGCCGGTTAACAACAGCCAAAATAACGCTGTAGATTTTGGGGTGTTCAGC